GGAATCAACCATTTTTCCAAGGAGCCCTAGTTCCTTGTAATGGAGAAAGATATTTAGAAATCAGTACCTGATGCTAGGTGTACTTATTGCTGTCTGCTTTCATAGTGCCCAGGCCCTCTCAGAGCTAAGAAAATATGAATGTTACATACATGTGTACATAAATGTGTATTCGTGTACATATTTCCATATGTAGTTATTTACATAAATATTAAAAACTATTAGTTCATACTGACACCTGTATTTCCAGCCTACCATTGCAGAAATCATTCTGATTTTCTCCCTTACCATTTTTGTAACTATCCAACAATTAGAAACCCTTCATCCTTGTTATATTTACTCATTTGATCAATCCCTCTGTATGCAGTTAGTTTCCCATCATCACCCACTTCCTTGTGTGGATGTCACCCTCATTCCACTCAGCCTTGGAAACCTTGTACCAGCCTGACCCAATCCCCCTGCCCAATGTGGACTCCATCTTGGGCTCTGACTCCCCACGCTGGACTTTTCCATTGTGTGATTTTCCTCTTCATCCTGCTGGCTTTGATACCCCATGCCAGGTTGTTCCTTGGTTTGATGTATGCCCTCCTTGTCCTGTTCAGACTCGGATGTCCTGAGCTGAATCTTCTACCCATTTGGTACAATACTTTTAACTAAAGCACAGAGCTCGTGTGATTTTCCCCTTTTAATGCCCCCTTTCTGTTCCAGGGTTCAGTTTAAGATCCCATATTGCCTTTAGTTATGAAAGTTCCTTACTCCTCTTATCTTTCATGACTTTGACATTTTTGGTGAGTTTTAGTTATTTTGTAGAATGCCTCTCAGTTTGGGTTTATCTGATGTTTTCTCATGATTAGAGTGAGATTATGTGTTTTTGGCAAGAATACTACAGAAGTGATGCTGTTCCTTCTCAGTAGGTCATATCGAGGGAGTGGTATATGATATCAAGAAATTTGTTACTGGTGATATTAATCTTGATCACTGGATTAAGGTGGTGTCTGCCAGACTTCTCCATTATAAAATTACTGATTTTCCCTTCATAGTTAATAAATACATTGGGAGAGATACTTTGAGACTCTGCTAATATCCTCTTTCTCCTCAAACTTTTGCCCACTGATTTTAGCTATCAGTATGCCATTGACCAGTCTTGCCTTCAGTAATTATTACTGTTGTATTTGTCTACAGGTGATTTAAACATTTCTGTCATTCCTACTATACTTATGAATTGTAACTCTTCTGAAGAAAGAGCTGTGCCTTCTTCCCCATCTACTTACTTATTCAAGTAATGTATATCAATATTGCACTCTTAGATATTTATTTTATTCTTTGGATTATAATTCAGTACTATCAGTTATTATATTGCTCACATTCTTGAGTCTTTGGTTTTTGGAACTCCTTCAGTTTGGCTCCTTTTACTTTTTAACATGCCCTGTTCTTTTTCATGGACTTCCTGTCTTTCTGTCTCCCTATCTAGAACCCTGAGTTCATAGTGATACCTTCTTTTCTAGTCTTAATACCATATGGCTCATTCTATCCTTCTTCCTCATTTATAATTTTGTTCCCTCAGACACTGAGAAACCGGAGTTGGCATTATCTACAATATATTCACTTGTTTGTAGTTACAGAATTGCTAAACTATACTCCTGTGAAAACCAAATTTACAGTACTTGTGCAATTTTTGTACAGTATTTCTGTATGGTTCTGTTTTGGTTTAGCCTTGCATTGTCTAGTTAGAATACTGTTTTCAAAGTTAGTTGGGCTTAATCTTTTCTTTTTTCTTCCTCATACCCTTTGGTGTGATTGTCTTATTCATTTGTAATACAGTTAGGTTAATTTATTACTGTTTATATTATATTTTTCCAGATAGCTCAGTGGTAAAGAATCTGCCTGCCAATACAGGAGATGCAGGAGATGTGGGCTGAATCCCTGGGTTGGGGAGATCCCCTAGAGAGGAAAATTGCAACCCATTCCAGTATTCTTGTGTGAATAATCCAATGGACAGAGGGTCCTGGTGGGCTATAGTCCATGAAGTCCCAAAGAGTTGGACATGACTGAGCACATATACAGAATTACTTTGAATTTTGGGTTCCCTCTCCCCATCCTGGTTGATTTAAATTATTTATCTGGGGGAGAATGTGAAATATTACTGTGACTTTAAAGAGTCTGAGTAGATAAAAAATGATAAATTCAGAGAAGTATTGCTACCTCTGTACCCCTAACTCATTCCTATTTTTCCTGATTTTCATCCTTTCCCACTGTGCTTTGTAGGTAACCAATCTCATTAGTTTATAGTTCATCCTCCTTATATCTATTTTGCACAAATAAGCAGATGTGAGTATATTTTCTTTTTTTTTTTAGTATATTTTCTTATATCCCCTTCTTTCTTTCTTCTTTGTGTTCATTGAATAATGTATCTGAAAAATCACCCCAAATCACTCAAAAGTGATCTTCCTTGTTCTCTTTTTTACACTTGTGTTGTACTCCATGGTTTACTCAACCATCTTCCTCTATCTGAGCATTTAGGTTGTTTTACAGTATTTTGTAATTATAAACAATGCTACACTGACTAACCTTATTCATATGTATTTTTATCTTGTTCGATGTTGCTTGATTTTTTTCCCATACTCAACCAACCTTGTATTTCTGGAATAAACTCAACTTCAATTTGACATATTAAGTTTTATAAAGAATTTTTGCATATCCTTTTTGCATTAGAGTTGCCTTAAATTTTTTTCTCTTATGATAGTCTTGTCAGGTTAATATCAAAGTTATTCTGACCTTAAAAGAGTTGAGGAGTGTTCGTTTTCTTTTCTCTGGAATATTTTGTGTTTGATTGGCATTCTTTCTTCGTAAATGTCTGACAGTGCTCTGGCAAAACTTTCTGGGTCTGGAGTTTCCTTAATGGGATGACTTTTCAATTATTATTATTATTTTTTAAAATTTTTTATTTTTTTTTATTTTTATTAGTTGGAGGCTAATTACCTTACAATATTGTAGTGGTTTTTGTTATACATTGACATGAATTAGCCATGGATTTTTCAATTATTTTAATATAGAATATTTTTGATCTACCAAAAGTGCACTTTTTCTGTGACCTCACCTGATAGTTAGAGAACTGTCTGAACTGTCTAGATCTCACCCCCAGCTATTTTTAAAATATTTCCTCTGTCTTTGGTTTATAGTAAGTTTTGGCTGGGATTGGTCTAACTGTGGATTTTCTTTGATTAAGCCTGCTTAGAATTCTTGTGTGTGTTAGTCACTCAGTCGTGTCTGACTCTTTGTGACCTGATGGACTGTAGTCCACCAGGCTCCTCTGTCCATGGAATTCTCCAGGCAAGAATACTGGAGTGGGTTGCCATTCCCTTCTCCAGGGGAATCTCCACCTAGGGATCAAACCCGGGTCTCCTGTCTTACAGGCAGATTCTTTTACTGTCTGAGCCACCAGGGAAGCCTGGGCTTCTGGAATCCGTGGCTTAATGTCTTCCATCTTGTTTTGAAAAATTCTTCATCAGATAGTGCTTCTAGTCTCTTCTCTCTTTTGTCCTCTTTTGGTATTTCAGTCACATGCATATTACACCCTCTTACTGTCTGTGTTGCTCTCCCTTTCGTCTGTATTTTCTCTCTCGGACTCGTCTTTTGTTCTGATGATTTTCTTCTGGTCTCTCCTCCAGTTCTCATTGTCTCTTTAACCAATTTAATCTTCTGTCAGACTCATTCACTGAGTTCTTAATTTGCTTATTATGATTTTTTTTAATTTTAGAATTCATATTTAATTATTTAAAGAGCCCATATAATTTATAAAATGGTTTCTAAGGCTCTGTCAAAGCTTCCAGTCTTTTATTGAATGAATTAAAGCATAGTTACTTTTCAGTTGTGGGACTGTTTGTTCAAATATCTGGAGCTCTTGTTGATCTGTTTCTGTCATTTGATTTCTCATTCATGTGTGGATTTGTCTCCTTGTATATCTTTGGTTATCTTTGCTTATGTGCTAGTCATTGTCTTTAAAAATTGTTTATAAAAATAATTTGGAAGCTGATATGTTATCTTTCTGCAGAAAATATATTCATTTGCTTTTGCTAGCTAGATGCTGAGAGTCAGTAACAACTTGGGGTAGTTTTAATTTATTTCAGGCATCAAGATTTTTCTGGATGAGCCACAGGACTGAGCAACTGTTTTAATTCTGTTTTAGTCTTTTTTTTAAAATGTGGACCATGTTTAAAGTCTATATCAAATTTGTTACAATATTGTTTCTGTTTTATGTTTTGCTGTTTTAGTCTCCAGGCATGTGGGATCTTAGCTCTCTAACCAGGGGTTGAACCCACACACCTTGGCATTGGAAGGTGAAGTCTTAACCACTGGACTGCCAGGGAAGTCCCCTGTTTTATTCTTAATCCCAAGGTGGAGCCCTTTGAGGTCCCAGTCAAAACCTGAGCTGTTTGCCAGAGCCACCACTGTTGGTCAGCCTTGCTTTCTTAATTTTTGGCTTGACAAGACTTTTTATTTTCCAACAGATGTTTTTAGAGTAGTTTTAGGTTCCCAGAAAAATTGAACAGAAAGTACATGGAGTCCCCATATGTCCCCTGCTCAAACATAATGACAAGTCTTTTAAGAAGTTGCTCAGTCTACAACTCCTCTTTTGAAATGTACAGTGCCTCCAGGAGGACAGTGGCCCTAAATACCAGGCTGGATGTTTGTCTTTTCCTAGAGTTTGGCCTGTTAATTCTTTACTATCTTGCTGTTTTCTGATGCTTTCAAAACAGTTATTTTAAATTATTTTAACTTTTCTAATTATTCCCAGTGGGAAGGTAGCCTGCAATTGTTGAACACATTTATTCTCTTTGTTATAAATTGCTGCAATTAGGTTGCATATTTGAAAAAAACAGAAAGATAAAACCTGTTAAGGAAAACCCTTTTCTATTTAGATGCATGATTTAAAATTTTTGCTTCCAATTATGGAGCTATATTGTAGATATTAAGGTTTTGCTTTTTATAAACTTTTATTCCAGCTCGTGATGCTGATGAGAGAGAGAAGTGGATCCATGCTTTAGAAGAAACTATTCTTCGACATACTCTTCAGCTTCAAGTAAGAATCTTTACATGGCTTCTCTATAGTTCATTAGGTTTTTTGTTTGTTTTCTGTTTTTTTAAAATAGCTAATAGGATGTAATGGAAACTTTTAATTTCTGGGTTATTTTTGCCTTTACAGTGTTATATATAAAGTTATAGTCATTTTCTTCTGCTTAAAATACTGATTTTTGTCTAGAAACAAGACAGTACAAGGCAATGTTGAAAGTGAAATGCTGTGTTAAAGCGTGCCAGGCTCATTTTTTAAATTTAATATGTATAGTTGGTTATTGGTATAGCCAAATTATATGATAATGCATGATAATAGATAAAATGCTGAGAAGTTGACCTACTTTTCTTTTTGTAGGATTTGGCAGTTACTGTTGTGAGTAGTACTGTTAGGGATGAAAGTGAAAGAAAAAATCCAAACTTGGCTTAAGAAAAAAACACATCTAACTTGGGTGTGGTTTGAAGTAGGCATTTAAATAATGTCATGAGGACCCAGATCCCCATCTCTGTTTCTCGGTCTGTTATTCTGGGTTGACTTCATTTATAGATAGATTCTCCCTTTGTCATAGTAAAACGGTAGCAGCAATTTCAGCCTCCCATTGGTGGAACTCCAGATCCATAGGAGGCTGTTGTTCTTTCTGGATTAAGATTAGTGCTGATACCTTAGCTTCAGTCATTTTCCCAGTCCTAACCAATCATAATTTCATAGTCATATGTTCCACCTCTTGGTAATAGGATTTACCTGCTACATCAAAAAAATGTAGCAGTTAGGGGAGAAACTGGTCCTCCCTGTTCCCAGGCAAAGTCAGAATGGGGGAGAAAAGATGCTAGGTGACCAAAAAAAAATGTCTAATCTACCATACTAAGCATAGTTTTCTGTGTTTGTTCTCCATTGAAAGAGCTTATATTGTGGTATATATAGAGAATTTTGTTTTGATTATTTGGATTTATAGGACGGAATCATAGGAAACTGAAGTTTTGTAATCCTTTGTCTACTTAATTTGTCCTATATCAGGAATGGGGGCTTTCCAGGTGGTGCTAGTGGTAAAGAACCCACCTGCCAATGCAGGAGGTGTAAGAGACATGGGTTTGATCCCTGGGTCAGGAAGATCCCCTAGAGGAGGGCATGGCAATCAACTCCAGTATTCTTGCCTAGAGAATCCCATGGACAGAGGAGCATGGAGGGCTTATAGTCCATGGGGTTGTAAAGAGTCAGACATGACTGAAGCAACTTAAGCATGCATGCACATACCAGGAATTGGGTTGGTTAGACAAGTTAGTGTAGAAAATCCCAGGTCCTACAAGATAGCAAACTCACCATCACTTTGAAAATTGTTCAGATAGATGCTTTAAAATAATATGTGAGGATATGGCTATAAAGAAACTGTAAAAAATGAATATGGAGTTGAACTCAGAGATCTCTGAAGTTACTCTGTGAGCCAGCTGTGCTTATTATTATTATTTTTTAAGATTACTGACTTTATTTATTAGCTATGCTTTATAAAAGGAATTTTATAACCACATCTGACTTGGATGTACTATGAAGAAATTCTATGAATTCCTTCATAAATTTCTTTTCAATTTCAGTTCAGTTCAGTCACTCAATCGTGTCTGACTCTTTGCGACCCCATGAACCACAGCATGCCAGGCCTCCCTGTCCATCACCAACACCCAGAGTTCACCCAAACTCATGTCCACTGGGTCGGTGATGCCATCCAACCATCCCATCCTCTGTTGTCCGCTTCTCCTCTTGCATTCAATCTTTCCCAGCATCAGGGTCTTTTCAAATGAGTCAGCTCTTCGCTTCAGGTAGCCAAAGTATTGGAGTTTCAGCTTCAGAATCAGTCCTTCCAATGAACACCCAGGACTGATTTCCTTTAGGATGGACTGGTTAGATCTCCTTGCAGTCCCAGGGACTCTCAAGAGTCTTCTCCAACACCACAGCTCAAAAGCGTCATTTCTTCGGTGCTCAGCTGTCTTTATAGTCCAACTCTCACATCCATACATGACTACTGGAAAAACCATAGCCTTGACTAGACAGACCTTTGTCAGCAAAGTAATGTCTCTGCTTTTTAATATGCTGCCTAGGTTGGTCATAACTTTCCTCCCAAGGAGTAAACGTCTTTTAATTTCATGATGCAGTCACCAAATGCAGTGATTTTGGAGCCCAGAAAAATTAAGTCAGCCACTGTTTCCCCCTCTATTTGCCATGAAGTGATGGGACTGGATGCCATGATCTTAGTTTTCTGAATGTTGAGCTTTAAGCCAACTTTTTCACTCTCCTCTTTCACTTTCATCAAGAGGCTCTCTAGTTCTTCATTTTCTGCCATAAGGGTGGTGTCATCTGCATATCTGAGGTTATTGATATTTCTTCCAGCAGTCTTGANTTCTTGCCACCTCTTCTTAATATCTTCTGCTTCTGTTAGGTCCATACCATTTCTGTCCTTTATTGAGCCCATTTTTGTATGAAATGTTCCCTTGGTATCTCTAATTTTCTTGGAGAGATCTCTAGTATTTTCCATTCTGTTGCTTTCCTCTATTTCTTTGCACTGATCACTGAGGAAGGCTTTCTTGTCTCTCCTTGCTATTCTTTGGAACTCTTCATTCAAATGGGTATATCTTTCCTTTTCTCCTTTGTTTTCTGCTTCTCTTCTTTTCACAGCTATTAGTAAGGCCTCCTCAGTGAGACATTTTGCTTTTTTGCATTTCTTGGGGATGGTCTTGATCCCTGTCTCTTGTACAATATCATGAACACGAACCTCCGTCCATAATTCATCAGACACTCTTTCAGATCTAGTCCCTTAAATCTATTTCCCACTTCTACTGTATAATCGTAAGGGATTTTATTTAGGTCATATCTGAATGGGCTAGTGGTTTTCTCTGCTTTCTTCAATTTAAGTCTGAATTTGGTAATAAGTTCATGATCTGAGCCACAGTCAGCTCCTGGTCTTGTTTTTGCTGACTGTATAGAACTTCTCCATCTTTGGCTGCAAAGAATATAATCAATCTGATTTCGGTATTGACCATCTAGTGATGTCCATGTGTAGAGTCTTCTCTTGTGTTATTGGAAGAGGGTGTTTGCTATGACCAGTGCGTTCTCTTGGCAAAATTCTGTTAGCCTTTGCTCTGCTTCATTCTGTCCTCCAAGGCCAAATTTGCCTGTTACTCCAGGTGTTTCTTGACTTTCTACTTTTGCATTCCAGTCCCCTATAATGAAAAGGACATCTCTTTTGGGTGTTAGTTCTAAAAGGTCTTGTAGGTCTTCATAGAACCGTTCAACTTCAGCTTCTTCAGCATTACTGGTCGGGGCATAGACTTGGATTACTGTGATAGTGAATGGTTTGCCTTGTAAACGAACAGAGGTCATTCTGTCGTTTTTGAGACTGCATCCAAGTACTGCTTTTTGTACTCTTTTGTTGACTATGATGGCTACTGCATTTCTGTTAGGGATTCCTGCCCACAGTAGTAGATATAATGGTCATCTGAATTTTCAGTTTAGGCAGTTGTATAAATGACTAGCGTCATTTTAGGAAATTTGTGATCCAATAAGAAGATAAGTATTTTAAGAATCACATTAGACTGTAACTGGCAAATAATATTCCCTCCACAGTTGGTTAGACTGATATTCAAGTCCCTGTGTGATCTATTTTCTTCAACATTTCTATAAACCTACTAGAGTGCTACCCCTGCATATATCTACTAAAGTGCTGCTGCTTACTTGCTTTCCTCTGAACCCATCTTTTCATTTCTGGTCTCTACATTCCTATATGGGATATTCTGTCTGCTTGTAATACCATCTGCCTCCACTCTGCCTTTGTGTTCTTCCTCTTTTCTTCAAAGTCCAGTTCAGAACTGACCTTTTCTGTGGAGCCTCTCCTAACCAACCCCTCCTCCCTCAGCCCCCAAACTCAGTAATCTCTTTCCTTTGAATGCCATACTTGTTGCACAGTTTACTGAGTTCTTATCATATTCTTTTTGTTATCCTTTAAGTATATATAATTCCCGCCTCATCAGATAGGATGCAGACTCCTTAAGCTACCTAATTTTATCCAATTTTGGAATACATGAGCTTTTACTAAGAAGAGAGCTTACATGTCTTTTGGAATAACAAAATGAAAGGGATAACTTTGGGAAGTCTTAAATACTGATAGCTTTGATATTTTGAAACATGTGTATGGAATAAGTTATTTATATATTTTTTTCCTAAAGTTAATACATGCAGGAAATTAGTATTAATTACTAGTTAGTAAATTAATTAGTTAGATTAGTATATTATTAGTAAATTAATATAGTTAGAAATTAATTAGTATTAATTACTAGTACTCAACTTTCAAATCTCAACAGCTCAGGCTATAACGCTATCATTAGCAGAAACAGAAAAACTGGATAAAAACGTGGGTGTGAGGAGAAAGAGCTGATAAGCCAGTTTTAGCCTTGCCCAGGCTGAGTTTCAGGGAGACATCCAAATGTCAAAATCCATAAGGAAAGAATGTAGGACTAAAGCTACAGCTACTTTTACCATTCCTACCTCCAGTACTTGGCATTCTAAATGGTGCTTGATAAATGTTAATTAAGGAAAGAATTGACAAAGGAATTAATGAATAAACACATGATGTATAGACTGCTTTTATATTGCTGTGTATCACATTCTTTGAGATGTCTAACATATTGTTAGGCCCTGTTGTCTAACATATTGTTACACCTCCCTGAGTCATGTATACAATAGTCATGTATAGTTGTGAGAGTTGGACTATAAAAAAAACTTAGCACCAAAGAATTGATGCTTTTGAACTGTGGTGTTGGACACCACAGGGACTCTTGAGAGTCCTTGGGACTGCAAGGAGATCCAACCAGTCCATCCTAAAGGAAATCAGTCACAAATGTTCATTGGAAGGACTGATGCAGAAGCTGAAACTCCAATAATTTGGCTACCTGATGCGAAGATCTGACTCATTTGTATAGACCCTGATCCTGGGAAAGATTGAGGGCAGGAGGAGAAGGGGACAACAG